TCATTTGTTTCAGATAAAGGACATTCAAAATGACGCTTCCTGGGGAGCCGATAAGAGGGCTATCTTTCGTAGACCTTGTTCGTGAATTTGATGTGGGTGCTTGCCATTGCTAGATGGGATACGATCATACCGATCTTTAGTGAAATTAACTCATCGCAGATTTCGGTCCGGATTGTGTCATTAGCCCTAAGGACAGGTATGCAGTTCGGTCAGGTATTGCGAGCGGGTGTCATACGTCTGTTGGGCATGATTGTCTGAATAGTCATCTCTGTGCACTGCAGACCAAAAGCACGATGTGCGCTAACTCAGTCCGCACAGTAGTATCACAGGCTGCTTTTAATCCTCCTTTCCATTAGTCTGTTGAAGGTAGAGGTGCAGAACAGATGCTGTGCGCGATTTAGATGACGAAGCTAAAGCTAATTATAGACTGCGTATGATATCTGGCATGAAATCTCGTGACATATGGTGTGAAGGCTCCTCTGATTTCTGTTGATGGCTGTTGTGTTTTCTAACTGTTACTTTTAACGCTTTTTACCCGCTTTTAGGTATTTTTTTGAACTGTACCCTCGTCTGTTTTCTTTAGCTTCTCATGTTAATATGCGGTTCGAAAGAAAACTACCGAATGGTGAGAGATGTGAACACATGTGGTTTCCATATCCGGGCTGTGCTCCTGCTGTACAAGAGGTTCTTGTCCCCATCAGCGAGTACATCATCAATATCCCCATCGCCGCCGAATTACTCTTTTCTGAACGAAATGGTACAGCATCTGAAAACCTGTATCGAAATAGCGTCCAGTCGAATCGGCAGCTGGCAGCAGTATTGTGCACAAAATCTGGGTGAGTGCATGCAATACTTCAAATTGTTTTATTTCTGCAAATGAGCTATTCCAGAGTCCTTCGCAACACTGGTCGAAGTGGCGAACTGCATTGACGAAAACACAGTCGGAGCTTTGCTTTGCTTAATCAGCGAAATTTTCGCAGAAACTGAATCAAAAATCAGAAAGCGACCAAAAGAAATTCGAAGGAGTAATTCAATTTTAAAGTCATATAACATTTTCTTTTTTGTTATTTAACTGTACTAATCAGAATAATGATAGTCGAAACCGCGGATGTTCATCTTCATCTTCCATCGCCGCTTCTCCTTTCGTGTCAGACAGAGCTTCCAACGTTTCCGATCCTGTGCCAGAGTCTGAGCTTCGACAAAAGACAAATGGAGTCTGAAACAGACTCCTTCCATATATTTGCACCAGGTTAATCTTTGCCGTTCCTTGGGCCTTTTGCCGGTCGGATTTGCACGAAACAGTTGCTTAGTCTTCCTTTGTGGAGGCATTCGCAACACATGCCCAAGCCATCGCAGCTGTGACTTCTCAATCTGGAGAAACAAAGGCTGCATTCCAAGGCTGTTCCGGATGTCACTATTCCGAGCCATGTCGAGACGCGTAAGGCCAGCGACTCGTCTAAGAAAACCCATTTCAGCAGCTTGTACCTGGGTTCGAAGTTTTTCAGTGATGGTCCACAATTCATGACCATAGGTAAGTATCGGGATAAAGATTGACTTGAATGTTGAGAGCTTAGTTTTCAGTCTGAGCTCTGCTTTAGTCACAGTAGGTCGGACAAGTTCATGCAGAATGCCACTGACTACTCCATTTCGCCGATTGATCCCTTCCTCCAATTTTCCAACACTACTAAATATGACTCAGAGGTACTTGAACTTCTCCACCTGCTCCACTGCCTCCGCGTTAATCTGAAGAGATCAACGGGCAGAGGAACGAGAAAGCACTAGGCTTTTCGTTTTAGTTGCGTTCATGCGCATGCCGGTCACGTCGCTGTCAGCTGCGAATCTTTCTAGGGAGCACTAAAGATCAGTTTCAGAATATGCTGATAAAACAAGGTCATCTGCAGACCACAACCTTCTCGTCTTCGCATCTCCTACACCGATACTCTCATCGCCTTGGCAGCTCCTGACTATTCTATCCATGAACAACACAAACAGGATAGGGGACAGGACGCAGCCTTGGGGGAGACGAATGTTCAATGCTTGCCACTTAACGCCATTTACTCTGATGCAGAACCTGCTATCAGAATACAGTGATTGGATGGCCCTTATCAGATGGCCATCTATCCCGTATGCTCGAAGGAATTACCACAGGCTGTTGCGCGGGATTCGGTCATATGCTTTTTCCAAGTCCACAAATGACATGTACACCGGCTGGGCCTACTCCCCCGATTTTTCAACAATCTGGCGCAGGGCAAATATGTGGTAAGAGGTATTTCGACCGGGCCGGAAGCCGCACTGCCGTTCTTGGATCTTGAGGTTAACTGTGTTTCACGGCGCCTCCTTTCTAGCACTTTTGTGTAGACTTTACCTGGGAGGCTCAATAACGTTTTGCCCCGATAATTGGAGCATTCCTTGTACCGCGGATGTTTCAGTATGTAAATGAAAAACCTCTACTACATGGTGAAAATTAAGCAGTGATGATTTCGGCTGATTATGCTGTAACCAATTTCGTATAAAGCATATTCACGAATTCGTCACCCTGCTGTGCATCTCTTCTCGCAAACTGCACACTAACTTAAATCCGCAAACTTATCGTACCTCCTCTTCATGAACTTTACAAATAACGGATAGACTACTTTAGCGCTGCAATTGTCGATGATCCAGCCTTCTGCCATTGCTAGAGAAGGTGCATACACGAATAATCCTTGGAAGGCTGAATGATGTCGCCAATCATTCGCTTTTAATACAAAATTTCAGATCAGACACGTGCACGGTCAAGATGTTTGTGATAAAACGGATTATCGAGCAGCGTAAGCGATCCAGTTTTCTTGGTAGAAGAAGTTTCTGGACTTCAGGGCTGCCTTTGATTCACTGTTTTGCCAGGATTGGTTGCGTGATTCATTTATAAGTTATTCTTTTCGCAGTGATAGGTGGCAGCTGACTGGTTTTTGCATATTGAGAGGTTTAAACTACAATTACTACGCAGAACAATCTGACATGCGAGTCAGGTGCCTATGTCAACGTGTAACACGACTAATACTCTGATATTGCATGCCCAAATGGTGTACTAATATCTCCTGCTCCGCCTCATTTGTTGTAGAAAGATTTTACTCTTTTCGTCTTACAAATTTTGTCACACCAGTGAAGCTGTTTCGTTGACTACATCCCACTTACTGCAAGAGTCACTACTTGCCAAAGTTTTGAAGGGCAAAGCACCGCCAATGTCGTTAATCATCTCTTATCTGCCTCCGCTGTAAATGTCCGGAACTTTTGTTTGCTTTGTATAACGAAAGTAAACGGCGGCTGCGCCACTTTTCCAACAGAGAAGAATCAAGTTGCAGCGTGACTAATACTCGTAACTTACCTTAACATCACTTTTCCTCTCTACCTTACCTCTCGTAGCTCTGACCAGATAAGATACAAAAGCGTAGATTGTAAAATGCTGGCGCAGTTCCTGGGTTTGGATTTTTATCTGAAGTGAACCATTAAAGTGCTGAACGAATATTCATGATTGAAAGTTGAACCAGAGGTAAGAGGCAATATTTTGTGTTGATTTCGTTTTCCAATATTTTTTCGCTTGCCTACTGGTGTGGTTCTGTTTCAGACTACGAAAAGTTTCAATTTTCTCGAGCAGCTGCACAAACCATCGCCGAGTTCATGTTCGCACCGTCGAAATTGCCGTTAATGACGAAATTCCTGAAACGCTTCCTACTCGAATGCAATACTTCCGAACGGCGTTGGCAAACGCACTATTTGATGCAGTCAATTTTTGAGTAACGCCGACGACGACGACCTGTCGTGTGTTTTCGCTTATTTGCGACGTATTTGCCCTTTTTAGTTTAGTACAGCCAGAAACGAAGACAGAGATCTATCAGCTATTCTGGAACAAGCTTTGGCCAGAAGCTATTCATTACGGTCGAAAATCAATTCAACTTGTCGATTTGCTTGGACACTTCTCCACCATACTTCCTAACGCCGTTGACGTATGTTCTTGAAAGCTTTATCGCCGTCCACTGTGTTTTTTCTACAGTGTTGTTACCATTTAGCAGATTTAAATGTACAGTGCAAATAATTTGTCTGAGTATATGTTGAAGAAATGCATTAAATACCTTAAGTGCGCTTCATGCTGATAACTTCATCCACTAGTTTCGGTGTTTCGCCTGTTTAGATATTTGTCATATTGCTGAAACTCGGCAAAAGAAAAACTACAAAATGAGCGTGATCGCTGTTTTTTGTACTTCGGGAGGCTTGTGTTGTGCTAGGGAACGCAATCTGACAGCCAAAATTTTTGAACCGATTCTGCCCTCAGGCTGTTGAGTTGAATGTTTGTAAAATATCTTATTCCTGACATTACATCGACTTAACATGCGTCGTACAGTGCAAGGACGAGGTTACTCACTTTTAAAGCAGCAGGCTGATTCCGTAAGAAGGAAACTGCAGCGGTTTGATTTTAAAGTAAAATTGCGTGAAGGACAGTATCTGAGTTAGATGCAGATAGTGACCTGTTGTGATTTCGGTTGAAATCCATACCTAAAATTTACTACTTTTCCGTTTCGTCGCATCACAGACCTTTGGTCTCCGTCAAAGCAAAGTCGTTGTCTCCATTCTCAGTTAATTAGGTTGTAGCCAGTATGGGTACATCTGGGTGTTGTCTAACCAAAAATTGGAAATTTTCTTTCACCTTGGTGTTTAAATTTGCCGTTTATATCACGCTTTATGTTTGGCATCGCTTTACTGTCTACGCTTTTTTCAGTTTTCGCTGCTGATTCTTTCAACTAGCCAAGTCTTATGCATAGTGGTTGATTATGTGCTTTTTAAATGATGTATTCGTTTAGATCGAAAAGTATTCTTTGCAAGTTCTGCACCTGTTTCTGTCACAAAGCAACAATCTACGAAATCATCCGAATTATAACCTTTACGAGTTTGTTACGATTTGTTCTCGAAAGTTGATTGATTAAACCATTTTAGCTCACTTTCTTCTTTGTTGGAGTTTGATGGCTTCTACCTGGAAAGAAACCCTTGTCTTGTTTGCAACAATCCAGAAATACCCATTATGGTAATACAGTACTGCTTTAATCGATTATTGAAATTCCTCTGTGTATAAGGTGAATAGTCGGATCGTGTATGTTGAACTTGTCTTAATTTACACATTTTAATATCGCGCGTAGGTTCTCGAAGATCGTATTTTACGGTCCTAATCCATTGCCGCTTCATTCCTCGTTGCCTATGGAGCATTTAAGCTGGTTACCGCTCAGTGGTATTTGAGCATCGGCGGCGCTAATTGCATCTCGCATGATATTGTTTGCTAGATCAGTTTCATTTTCTCTGCAAACAACGTTTCAAGAGTTGGTAGTACTTATATGCTGCCACATACATATCAAAAACGTGTTTGTTCAATGTCGTACGTAACTTAAAGCACAACTCATCTAAGCCCCGGTTTCATGACGAAATGCGGTGTCTCATTGCTCGTAGTTGCCATGGAGACATTTAAGTCGGCCACGGCTACATATTTTATAATCTTGCAGGCTTTTTCCTACTATCGCTGCCCCTGTGCAGGACGGGTATTCATTCGTGAATGCCACCATGCTCTCTATTTGGAGATTAATTTCGACGCATCCTTCAGTGAAGGTTTCTAAACGGTCGTGGAAGATTTTTATATCCTGTTAGCCGTTGTCCATTGCCTCGTTAGCAGATCGTTTTTGGGTTCATGGCAGACCTTAGCAGCTCTGGGGGAATAGAGTACACTTCGCCGTACTTTTATCTGAAAAGTTTTGTTAACTGTTCCCTACTCTGAAAAGAGTTTGTTTGTTGGAACCATCTTCTTTATACAATCTTATTCCTTTCAACATGAATTCTCGCTATGATTCGGTTGTTTCACAGTTCTTAATGCCTAATCAGGTGTTTTTTATTCTCATCAGAGCTTCAAATCTTCCTCACACATTGATTCTTTTTACTTTTCCGTGATATTAGCGTTTGGGCTGCACTACTTGCATTGTTTTATGGCCTTCATTTCACATTGCCAAAATTGCTCGTTTTCTAGTGAAGCTACCCGTAATGCAATCCTTTTGAAAGTGTTTCGGATGTGGTCTTCTTGTAGACGCCAAATACGTGTTGATTTGCATCATTGCAAAGTATGACTGTTGCTCTTATCTCAGTGCTGTTCTGTCTTAGTCTTCACACGACATCACTGGTGTTGTTTCTAGCCCAGAGATTTTTCCTTTATCTTTTTGGTTATTTTCTTGCCATAGAGCGCAGTGTTTCCCTCCTCGTTTGTGCATGCGTTATTTTCATCGGCTTATTTATTCGACTATAACTTTTTGTGCCTTAGAACGTAAATACTTCAGCGTTGGAGTTTTAAACTGGATGTTGCCCTCTATATTCATGTACTCGCTGCTGCTTTGGATTTTTAGAACGATTCTGGTCACAGCTACATGGAAATTATATGATCGTTAATGTTAAACTAAGCTACAGTGGCGTTACGTTTAAACAGCTGTTATATCTAATCGATTTCTCATGGAGTGTCATTTACAGTAGGATTGCTCGACTTGTAGCACTACACTGCCATGTTTCTCCTGAAGTGTCAGCTGTAGACTGCAGAAATTAATTACGGACTTATCAGTTTCAAACGAAGCACGTTATTCAATGTCTAGCATATGTTACATCTTTGTAACTATTTAGAACATTGATCAGCTTACACTACATCTGTTGACATATTACTGGTGATAACACAGATAGATCGTTCTCTTACATAACGCTGCATGTGTCCTCCTACTTCTAGGTAATGACAATTCTCAGGTAATATGATCACAATTTATCAGTTGAAAAAGAGCGGTAGCTCGATTTGTTCCATTAGACGCACCATTACGCTTCCATACATCGAATACATCTATCCTCTACGGATTTTTCTGGTTTGGATATAATTCTTCGGATGGCTTTCTGTCTGCACTGAAATTATCATCTCTAAGTAACAAGACATACGGTTATATGAAATGCACGGGGCATACTGAACTGTATACTGGTTGCATTTTACGAGTATTACACGTAGCAGTATCATCGTATATTTAGGTATGTAATTTTTTAAGTAACATTTTTTTTATGCTTTCGATAGAGCTTTATTGAATAGACGTTCTTGTTATGTAGACGAATATGCCCATGTCCTCTGATTATCTACAATATCCTGTTTTAATTAGTGTTTAAAAATTGTTCTGGAACTTGACAGGAAGCCTCAAGTTAAGTAATGCGAGGACGCATGCTGTCCTTGGGTTGCAGAGAGAAGTGTCTTAATCGTAAACAACTTGAAATTTAGCATCGCAGTATTAAATAAAGTTAATGGCTTATTAGAAGTGGTTAACGCAATTCACGGACTATGGGTAAAGTTCGGATAAGTTTTAGTAAAGAGAGGTATTGAATTCCGTAAAGTTTCTGCTAAATTTTGTAGCAGCGCCAGTGTTGCGATTTCTGCTGCGCATTTATTAAGCTGCCGGGTGAAGTAGCACAAATAACAATTAACTAAAAACAATGCCGAGGACATTGTCCTCATTTGCAAATCAATTTACTATTCATTTATCTTAAAACGTTTTGAAGCCATTTCGTGAATTTGCTCGCTTGAAATCGTACCCATTTATTTATATACGCCCTCGTTATGGATGGGGAGTTCTGAAATGTTCTTATTTGCAGCGAACAGTGCATAGGTTGCCATGTTGAAAATGTTAGTGCGGGTGGTATTGCAGTTAACGCGAAATAGTAGGTGACATAAGGTAAAGTAGAGAATAACAGAAGCTGTACTCATTTGTGCAACATCGAACCACAGTAAGCACTGTAAAAGCGCTAGACAGAGTTGACTTTTCGGGCACTTCACCAAATTGCATAGTCGTCGTTTTTCAGTTTTTTAAACGATCACCGATGCTGACTAATTTTTTTTTGAAATCTTACGTATTCTACGTCTGGTTCGAAGCTGATTCATGTTCATATTCTTGCTTATGATGTCAGATGCTCTGGTTGGCTCTAATGGAGAGATTTGCTAACTACCTTGAAACGAAGTTTTCCATGACGCTGGAAATAGTCAGAATTAATCATGCCGTTCAGTAGAGGCGACAAGAAAGGTTTGAAGAACTATCGTGCAATCTGCCTGCTATCATAAATTTGTAAGCTGTTCTCTAAGATAATCACCAGTAAATTGTCATCAAGTCTCGATGAGCAGCGGCTATGAGAACATGCGGAAATCAGAAGGAGCTAGAGTACGTTGGGCAGCATCTTTACCTTAAATCAACTTCACGAGCGGGCGAGGGAATTCCAGCTTCTTCTGTGCATAGCCTTCGTCAGCTACGAGAAGGCACTCTACTCTCGCGAGTACAGCGCAGGATTGCATTGGAAGAACAGGACATGGACATCCATTACATTAATCTGCTAACGGAAGCTGCCTCTGTCTGCTTCACAAACGTCACGCTGTTAAACACTCCATCCGGATCCCCGTAGAAAAGTGCGTGAAATAAGGGAACACCATCTTCGAAACTCGTCACTGCCATGTTGGAAATGACGTTCAAGTGGATATGCCAGATGGGAAAGATTAGCATAAATGGAGAACAGCTCATCCACGTAGAGTTCGCTGATAAAATGACGTTGTTTGCGGAAAATGCCAGTCAACTCCAAAACAGTGTCTGAGCTCGATGAAAGGTGCAGAAGTCAGACTGCGAATCTATCAGTCAAAGACTTACATACTACGATCAGATGTTCTGCCGAAGACCCAGGTAATATCAAACGATTCAAATATTCGAAAATGTCGATAATTGTATTTACCTGGGCCAAGAAATCAACATGCGGCATGATCAGACGAGAGGTTTTTGAGGAAAGAGGGCTGGCTGGCTAGCGCTCGTTCCATTTCATCGAAAACGTCTTCCTATGCAACATCAGAAAAGATCGCCCCACCTTTTTAATTCTACCGTTTGATGCTGCATAACTGAGATACTGTCACCCTACGAAGGTTGATCAGCGCCAACCATCACTGGGAGGGCATTGGAAAAAAGAAGTTGGAACTTTCTTGTTGCGGCAACATCACGGTGGCCAGGGAGCAGAAACGAGTGGAGGATGTCGTCGTTGAAGCAGAACTGAGAAGCTGCGTTGGTCCTGGTATGTAGCTTTCAACACCGACTGGAGATGGTTGGGGATGATCGTCGACTGGTACCCAGCAGGCTGCCTAGGCCACTCGGTTGTCAACTACGACGGTTAAGCGTTGCATCAAAAGCCGGGAAAGCCCCGCCTTGACGCCAAGGGTTCGAAACCGCGAAAACGGCTGATATGTTACGGCCGACCAGATTCTTCGACGATTATTGACCGATGCAGATCATGTCGTCAGTTATCTGTTCCCGAAATGTTAGCCAATGCTAGCTAGTTCTTCTATATTGTACAGTAGGCTCGTTCGATTGATTGATTTAATCTGCCTGTGATCAATTACGTTTTTTTCTCGCTAACACGTATCGAATCAGTTCATCAATGGCCATGAGCCTTCGCGTTTGCATCACCGTTCGGACAATTTCTTATGCCGATTCATCTTTTTAAATTCAATACTGAGTCGAACGATTTTTTTAGGTCATGAAACTGGCAACCTTGAAGATGGATGCGTTGTTTACGACAACGTGTCACATCATTAAGCTTATTTCCAGTCACGAGATTTTTAAAATCATCTTGAAGATATCTGATATCCGTCGCACGAAAATGGTCAAAAAGATCAACGTTTATTATAGCAACAAAACTGTCGCGTCGGCCGTAGAGCTGAAAGTCAGGTTGGTGTTATTGTGCTATTACACAGATATGCCATAATTTCTAACCGCTTTTGCGTAGGCATCAGTGGTCATTGGCGAAGCGCTGTGATATTGCCCATGGTCAGACGGAGGTTCGAGTGGAATTCGCTGTGCCCTTCGTCGCGTGCAATCTAAAACTTGAATATGCCGATTTCTATGATACGACACCCTCGATCAGTGAAAGTCTTCATTGCCCACGATGTACAGCCTCTGTCCAACCTAATCCTGGAATATGCAGTAACTGCGGCGAAAACGTCTACCAGTGTCACAAATGCAGGTGATTGATCGCTTCTCATACTTTGTCTGAACGCATTTTGTTTCCTTTATCACAGTTGCGCAATCTGAGCCTTGTCCCACGATTTGGACCTCCTCATTCTTGTACCCCTATGTTTGTCCGCTTTCATAGTTTCGGTATTTCGTTCGTGTGTTGGTGGTTATACTAAAAACAGCATAAAGTATTTAATGCGCAAAGCAAAAAAACGATATGGTCATTCGGATAATTGGCCAATACGGACGTTACGCTCGTATCTCACGGCCTTCTTCCAGATAAAGAAGTTAGTTGGTTCACCGACAAATGCACGATAGACATATGCGCGCCGAAAAAATCGCGTCATCAAGAAACTATAGACAGCCCTTCGAGTGTGCTGAGCCTTTAATATATTGGGACGCGTATACGTACGTTATAATGTAGTCAGGACACACCAGTTGAA